GCCTTCATATAGTGATATAACTGCCTTCATATAGTGATATAACTGCCTTCATATAGTGATATAACTGCCTTCATATAGTGATATAACTGCCTTCATATAGTGATATAACTGCCTTCATATAGTGATATAACTTCCCAATTCGTAAATATTGCTGATATTCCTTAATAGGAATAGAATTTAAAAAGGGCCGGTTGCAAACTATTGACTTAAGAAGTTACTTTATTCTTAATCTTAAATAGCTTTCTTGTCTGAATTATAGATGCTATAGTTTGACGATAATTTAATCAGATATATTTTCGCAGCATATTGACATTTTAAAAGATTTTTATGAATAAATGTGTATAATTATATATTTGTTATGTTTAATTTTTAAGTGTAGCTGAGTAATAATTCGACAAGAATTTATATAATTGTTTATACATTCTATTATGAACTTATAAACATGCAAATATAAAAAGTGGAAAGAGTTGTGTTTTTTCTTTGCTACCGTTTTATCTGGCAGCGTTTTATCTATAAAGCGTTTTATGAGTATAGCGTTTTTCTAGGTATTTTATATCTAATGAAAAATTGGTACATACCTAAAACATCGAAAGTAATGTACATAAAATAAAATAAAATATATCTTATTTAATAACAAAAATTTATGATTAAAAAGCTCTATTTAACTGTTAATTGGGTGGATTAAATTCTATGTTGAAGAAAAGAAAAATAAAAATAGAATAATAAAAGAAGAAAATTATATACAAACGAAAAAATGTTAGTATATCAGTTGAATACTATTAAAAGAATATAGAAAATATAAAATAAAAAACTAAAGCAGAAAAAAATAATAAAAAACCGGAAAAATAAGGGAATACAAAATATAAGAATTGAATGTTAAAATTTATTGGATTTGAAAAAAGTGAATTTTTAGGTTTTACATTCTTTTATTTGATCCAATAAAAGAATTAACAAATAAAATCAGAACATTTCTAAAAAATCTATTAAATAAATTGAATAAATATCATGGTAATAAGTATGTAACTAGATGTGGATCAAAAAATTATGAAAGATTTAATTATTCTTTTAAATCTAAAGATTAAAAAAAATAAAAAAATCGCAAAATATATATATATATATTTAAATGTTTTTTCCCCTCAAATATTTATATCACCAATATTTTTATTGTTTTTTTATCATGATTTATTATCTTGGTTACAACAATGTCTGTTATAGATTTTTAAATAACTTAGTAAAATTTGTAAACTTGTAACTTAAGAATATTATCATTACGCATGGCTAGAAAGAGCGCAGTTTCCCGAACTGTAAATATTTGAACAGAATTCCGCATTCAAACATTTTTAATTGTTTAAATTCTTTCTTCAACTTATAAACTCAATTTTAAATCTGAACTGTAATTATTTGTACTACACTGACAGAAAAATATCTAGGGTTTAGTCATAGAGAATAGAATATACACTAGAGGGGAATTAAGAGAATCTCTCGGTATGAATTTTATACAGTCCCTTTCAGCCTTAAAGGGAATTCAAAGTGTACAAATCATGTGAATGTTCACAAATTATATGCAGTAGAGTAGATTAATACAGTATGTTCCCTAGACTATTCATTTCAATTTCGAATTTTTTAAAGCTGTTAAACAAACTTTATAAAGAATTAGGTGAATAAAAAACATCATTTGATTTATAGTTATAACGAAATATCATCGTTTGTAAAGTGAAAGGCATGGAGTCTATGTGAAATGATCATTGGTCAATTATGAAACCAGCCTATTTCATAATTTGGTTTTCTTTTAATATTAATTTTAGATTTTCTATTAAATGATATTCCAGGGCCCAAAAGGTTATATGACATAAATATTTGAAGTACACCTGCAGTATGGAAACAGTACAACAAAATGGCCGTTTTACACTTTTTCTAGTGAATTCCCCTCTAATATATATTCTATTCTCATTGGGTTTAGTAGAGAATTGGGGAGTAGGTGGGTTAGGCCGGTTGGGTGGTATTTCTAGCTTTAGCAAATAATATCAATTAATAACAATGAGACTAATTCTAAATAAAAACAAATATTTTTGATAAATAAATAATATATAATATATTTATTTATTATGATCTACTCAATATTCACAATTTTGTCCTTCTTTGAACATATATACATATATGCTTATAGCGTTTTCAGAAACCATTAATTTTACATATTTTTATTCAAGTATACCTTTTGGTGTGCTATATTTGTCTAAAATGTTGGCTGTACACTGGATGTTGATCCAGTGTGCACCACTTAACATGATGAAAATGTGATCAAAAATGTGAAATACCTTATTTGTACCTTAAAAATGCAACGCGTCGGTAATATACAGTTAGAATCAGAAAATAGTAGAATAAATGTCGTATTTTATTACTTTTACTGAAGAAATGACACTGAAGATTTCGAAATTTTCAATTATTACTAAAAATAGCTCAGTTTAAAATTATTGAAAATTTTAAAATCTTTCAGTGACATTTTGTAAGTAAAAGAAAAAACAAATACGACATTCCTTTCTGGTTCTCACTGTATATTCTGGTATCTGCCCTCTATCTAAATAATATATTTATTTATTATGATCTACTCAATATTCACAATTTTTCAAGTAAATAATTGATAACATGGATATTTAAAATTTTCATTGGAGGTTGGGAAAGGATGAATAAAGAAGGGTTGGTCAGGGATGAATAAAGAAAGGTTGGGAAGGGATAAATGAAGAATAGAAAGAAAAGGATGAATGAAGAAAGGTTGAGAAAAGATGAATAAAGAAGGGTTGGGAAGGGATGAATAAATGAATGAAGAATAGTTAGAAAAGGATGAATGCATAAAGGTTGAGAAGGGATGAATAAAGAAAGGTTGGGAAGGGATGAATGAATGAATAAAGAATAGTAAGAAAAGGATGAATGAAGAAAGGTTGGGAAGGGATAAATGAAGAATAGTAAGAAAAGGATGAATGAAGAAAGGTTGGGAAGGGATGAATGAAAGGATGACGAATAGTAAGAAAAGGATGAATAAAGAAAAGTTGGGAAGGGGTGAATGAATGAATGAAGAATAGGGAAAACAGGATGAATGAAGAAAGGTTTGGAAGAGATGAATGAATGAATGAAGAATAGTGAAAAAAGGATGAATGAAGAAAGGTTGGGAAGAGATGAATGAATGAATGAAAAATAGTTAGAAAAGGATGAATTAAGACAGGTTGGGAAGGGATGAATATATGAATGAAGAATAGTTAGAATAGAATGAATGAAGAAAGATTGGGAAGGGATAAATGAAGAATAGTAAGAAAAGGATGAATGAAGACAGTTTGGGAAGGGATGAATGAATGAATAAAGACTAGTGAAAAAAGGATGAATGAAGAAAGGTTGGGAAGAGATGAATAAATGAATGAAGAATAGATAGAAAAGGATGAATGAAAAAAGGTTGGGAAGGGATGAATGAAGAATAGCTATAAAAGGATGAATGAAGAAAGGTTGGGAAGGGATAAATGAAGAATAGTAGGAAAAGGATGAATGACCAAAGGTAGGGAAGGGATGAATGAACGAATAAAGAATAGTAAGAGAAGGATGAGAGAATGAAAGCTTGAGATAAACACTAAAGTATGACACGTGTCAACAACAAAAGATTAATACGAGTTCTAATTCTTAAATCTCCCCCGGGCCCCCTCCTCTTTTACCCCCCCACNCTATTATCTATCTATCTATCTATCTATCTATCTATCTATCTATCTATCTATCTATCTATCTATCTATCTATCTATCTATCTATCTGTCTATCTATCTATATATACTATCTATCTATCTATCTATCTATCCATCCATCTATCTATCCCTCTATTTTTTCCATTTTTTTTATAAAAAGGCTATATTTATTTATTTATATAAAACTGTTGACAATAGGTTTGGCATATAATAAAACATAAAGGAACAAATAGTATTCAAAAACCAGATTTTTAATTTAATTATTTTGGAGGAATTTTAATTATGGCACGAATATCTTTAATCAGACTGATATGTATGTAATTTTTATTTTATATAAACTCAGACTAGATTTTGATGGCAACCACGTGTTTATTTTGGGTCATTGTATAAACATCGTCACATTGTTTTAAACTCTTTAAATTTAGGCAATTAGGTAAATTTACTCCAAATATCAAGTATATCCCTAGACCACAAAAAGTCTTAATCTGTAAGTGAGTTAAATTCCTCCAGTTTTTTTTCCAGGCTTAACGTCAAATAAGTATTTAACCCCGCCAATAAAATCCAGTATGTATCTCTATCTCAAAATCTGAGAAGTAAATATTTGAAAAATTCCGTTAGACTGTGAGATCATGTATCGATGTTGAGCATTTTTCGCCACTTTTAACTATTTTTGAGCACACGATTTACAATAATTTGGAACAGGTATTTAGAACTAACTGTATGAATATAAGATTTCGTCTTTTTTTCTTTTATCTAGATTGAAGTCACACTTTTTCACTGTTTCAGTTCAGAAGTTTCAGTTTATGGTACATTGTTCGTTGCAGGAAATTGCGGCATTTTTCCTTTTTTCTTACGTGGATTTTCGCCTTTTTGATTTGGATGATTTTCTCTAAAAGGTTGGCCAATACAACTCCTTTGCATCCTGGGCCCCTACGGACCCTCCTTCTAAACATGAAACAAATATTTTTTAACATTCTTTCAAAACAAAATATAAACGAGAGTTGAAAAATTAAAATACGACTGCTGCAGACACTAGGAGATAACATAGATTTTAACAAAAATTCAAATCCCATTATGCGTTGATCGATCTTATTTCGACAACTAATACTGATTTCTTTAGCTCTGGCTATTTATGCATTATCTTAGCTAATTGATGTGGTATTCTAGTAAAAATCAACTAAACTTTGTGATTTTTTTTCAAAATGATGGAGTTATCCTTGTTTTTCCATTTCAAAATTCCAAAAAATTTATAAATTAAAAAACACAATGAAAATATCGAAAAATATATCTTTTTAGACAGAAAAACGTCGATATTTTCCTTTTTATTAATCTAGAAAAGGATGAATGAAAAAAAATGGGTTCGAAAGTGAAGATATCTGAAATTGTGTTTGTAATATTAAAATATTGACCTGATCCCCCTAAACTATGGTAAGGGTGGGAGTAGGTTCTATCTAGGGAGTGAGGGAACTCCCCCGAGGAGGTGGAGTACTCCCCTCCGCTCCAGGGAGTCTCGGTTTTTACTGGGAGTCGTGGAGTGTTTATAAACAGGGAGTATCCAGGTCCACTCCTGGAGTATAGATCATGCATAGATCTGTGGTAGGAGGAACCAGTAGCCTAGTTTAATAATTAAAATAATAATAATAATAATAATAATAATAATAATAATAAGAATAATAATAATAATAATAATAATGATAATAATGTACCTGTGCAGCGTACTGCCAAGGATCCTGCGCATGAGCAGCTAGATGTTGTAATGACGCATAGTCTGCGTATTCTGAAGCAAATGTCGTCTTTCCGTGATAGTGGGCATTAAAGAAGGAGGGAGGGAGGTTACGCGAGGCCATTGGAGTTCCTAGATAGATAGATAGATTAAATTGTTAATCTATTAAAAGTATATGTGTCTGTCTGTCTGTCTGATTGGATGTTCGATCAAATTATAAAATAAGTGGGTTTACTTTTATAGGGAATATTCGAGGCAAAGCTGGGTTTCGAAGCTGGTAAAAATAAATAATTAACAAATAAATAGATAAAAACATAAACTTATTTTTATCTACAAGTTCAAAGTTAATATGATGATTTTTTAAATACATTTATTGTACAATTACAATCGATTTAGAAATGACTGAAAATGTTATATTAGAGAAATGTTATTGTCTAATCTTTATTAATAAATTATAAGTAAATTGGTTTCAAAAATATCTTTTAAACTCATTTTCTAGAGGTTCCACAGTGCTCGGCCCCTAGCCTTTCCTAACCATGGCGTTTGGCCTAAATACCCCACACTCTACCCCCAGATATCAGAGAAACCATAATTCATTAGAAAAATCAGTCTTATCTCCTCTTCTCCTATCCTCCCTCTCAACCTCACAGAGGGGGCCCTAGCATGGGTCCCCCTTTAGTTTATGAGATATATGGGATTGAGAATGGGGGGGGGGTGAAGGGGCGGAAGGGGGGGTTAGTCCCCGGGAAAGATAAATTTTTGAAAGATGATCTCCATTGACACAGAAATATCATATTCTCAGACCAAAAGTATTTTTGAATGAATAAAAGTGAAACTGTTTCAAATGAAAGAAAAATGATAAAAATGTACACAATATGATTCGTTTTGTCAAAGTACAGTTCACTTTACAGTAAACTGTTATCTGGGCTGATTTTACAATTTACATTATCATACGTTTTTTCGAAGATTTACAGAGAGACATCTCACGTGGATTTATTGTAATATATTTCCCGGATTTATTTAATTTAGATAAACTGCTTGAGACAATTGTATAGAGGGGGGGGGGGGGATTAGAAGAAGACAAGACAATGGGGGCAAAAAAGTAGAAACTAGACATAATAAAAACATTGCAGTGGGATATTTAGGGACAAGATAGACGTAAACTTCCAGCGAGCAACAATCTATTCTAGGATTAATTGAGTAAAAAAGCTGGATTTCACCGATAAATTAACTAGTTTGTAACCTAACACTAGCTTAGTATTTCTAGGCTTTTCTTCACATATTGTAGAAGAAATATATAGAGGGAGTTAGGCAAGCTAGGAAGTAGATTAGTGAGATTGAGATTTATAGATAGTTTCCCTTAAAATAGATAGATAGATATAGTTAGATCACTCGTAGATGGATAGATAGATAGATATAGTTAGATCACTCGTAGATGGATAGATAGATAGATAGATAGATAATTAGATAACTAGATAAATAGAAAGAAAGATAGATAGATAGATAGATAGAGAGATAGAGAGATAGATAGATAGATAGATAGATAGATAGATAGACAGATAGATAGAAAGATAGATAGATAGATAGATAGATAGATAGATAGATAGATAGATAGATATAGATAGATAGATAACTAGATAGATAGATACCTATGTCCTATATGCTATGTATCGTATAACAGTAATCTATCTTAAAGTTTAAACGGTTCCGACACAAGTAGGAGTATCATCTAAGAGCATCAATCTATCATTCATATCCGGATACAATCCTCATCCGGATATAATTCACATCCGGAAATAATTCACATCCGGATACAATCTATATCCGTATACAATTCATATCAGGATACATGTACGGATACAATTCATGTCCGGATACTGTTCATGTCTAGATACAATTCATGTCCAAATACAGTACATATCCGGATACAGTACAAATCCGGATACAGTACATATCCGGATACATCAACATTCATCCGGATTATACATCATCACTATAACTTCATCCGGACAAAAACCCTGTTTTATTCTTATCTTTAAATGTTCTACTCTCATTAATGTAGTTTTCTTACATTTTTTTTCAGTTTTTAATTAACTCTCTGAAAATCCAATAGAAATATTTCATCAAAAATATGTCTTTGTAATTTTTTTGTTTCGTTTTTGTAAATGTCTCTAGGTGCATCATATATCTAGAAATCCCAAATACCTCTCTCTCTGAGAACCTCCCTCGGTCCCCTTATCCCTTATCGTTGAGACCCCCCCCCCTATCCCTCCTATCCCTCCTCATTGACCCCCTCCCCTTGCCCCCTCTGCTCCTCCCCTAAATTAGCATGACAGATATATGTTTGACAGGCATGAATATAAAGCCAAGTATAGGCAGGAAATGAGGTTATATTAGACGAGGGAGGCCTATGGAGGGAAGACGGGTGGCGTGGGGGGATTTTATGCACGCAGAAGGCCTAGGCTGTACAATGATTTAAAAAGTGCATCAACTATTGAGTCTAAGTCGATTTTGAAGTGTGACTAGGCCTTGCACATTGCTTTTGTTTAGAAAGAAGTTTAAGTATAAGTTGTAGCCAACTTACTTATAAGCTGTCTCAAGCTTTGGATATAATGATTTCAAAATTAAAAAGCGCTTGTTTCATGTATCAGTTTTGAAATAAGTATTTGGGATAATTCTCAGGGTATGCCATAAGCGTCCATTAATATGAGAATTATGTTGAAATATGTCAAACCAATTATCTGCCACAATACTGGTAAGACTTTGTGACCTCGCAGCTCCTGTAGTTTGGATTTAAAGCCCACATACAAAAAAAATAAGTTCATTAGAAATTAATCACTTTTTTACTCTCAATAGGTTTCCAAGAAAAGTCCTGATTGAATAATATTTAAAGTTCACTTAAATATGGTTTAGCATCCCTTTAATTTTAACACAACAACAACAATTTGTCCTAAATGTTGAAAGCAAAAATCGGTGTTATTGTTTGCATGGTCAATCGGAAATCTTATCTCTTTTTCCTTAGGTGTTAACCCATTGTTCTGGACAATACCTTGGTTTAGTGTGGTGGTCAACTATAGGTTTAAATATACTTACAGTTTATGGAGTTCACGGGAAATAGTTAAGTTTTACTCTCTAAGTGGTTTATGACAAGCTGTACCAAAATCTTTTATTCGTCAAATAATTAACAAAATCTGCTAAAGTCGAATAGATGTATTTTGTAAACATACATATTAAGAAATTTAATCTTGTACTTCGTAGATGTAATATTAAGTCCTTTTCTTTATCTATCTAGTTCACCAGAGACCGAATTTAATGAATTTGAGCTACGTCGCTGAACTACCTGCTGCTGCTTCACATTTAAACCACCGATTTAAACATAAAGATTAAGGAAGGTTTTAAATCGGTGGATCCAATTTGAACCGACAGTAGGCAGTTCATTCATATTCTTTTAATAAAACTTTTGGTTGGGATTGCGCTCAACCAAATCAACTTGATATTCACAGTGTAAACTTTTAAATTGATGGATTTCGCAACAATATCACTAAAAGATGATATTGAAAGTATTCCCAGAGGACGGGAGGACGGGTAACCTTTACAGATTTCAATAGAAAAGTTTTGACCTGAGAAAGTATATTTGGACAGGATGTGGTTTATGGTATATCCACCACTAGTACACTACTAGGATAGTATAGGACTGGAATTTCAGGCTAAATTTGCTAGATTCTTATCAGTAGTAATGTATTCTGTATTTCAACAAGTTTACTCTCATAGACAGAGAAGGGAAAGAAGATGGGAAGGAGAAAGGAAGGAGATGGGGAAAAAAGGAAAGGAGAAAGGAAGGAAAAAGAAAGGAGATGGGAAGGAGGAAGTTAGGAGAAGGGAAGGAGATAGGAAGGAGAAGGGAAGGAGAAGGGAAGGAGAAGGGAAGGAAAAGGGAAGAAGAAGGGAAGGAGAAGGAGAAGGGAAGGAGAAGGGAAGAAGAAGGGAAGGAGAACGGAAAGAGGAGGGAACGAACATGAAAGGAGAAGGTTAGGTTAGGTTAGGTTAGGTTAGGTTAGGTTAGGTTAGGTTAGGTTAGAAAAATAAAGTCCAAAATATTTTTTTTCGGATAAAGAAGTTTATGTTTAGTTTAAAATAACTAGATATATAGCATTCTTATTAGTTTTTATAAATTAAAACTTTGTTTTGTGTCAACTTTTCAGATATAAATAATCTATTTCAGAGAAAATAAACAATTGCTGGAAAAATTCCTTACAAAGACTTTTTTTAAATTTTTTTTTCCAATTAATGTTGGATTAAGAAATTCAAGTGTTTTATTTAAAGTTTATAAAAGAGGAGGGAGGGGGTTGAAAAATAAAGGGTAGGAAAGAAAGATCATAAAAAATTAAAAACGAAAAAAATTTGAAAAAGTGAAAACTTAAGTCAAATTTTATTTCTACAATAATGTAATTTGTTTTTAAAAGTTTTGAGTTGATCGGAATTGAGCCAAAACTATTGAAAAATGATCTGTTTCAACTTAAATTGTATAAAGAACTGTGAACACATGTAAAATCTTGTAATATGTCGTGAAGAATTGAATAATTTCAAGTCATCATTCGGGAAATCTGATCATTAATCTTTTTAGTTCTGCGGAATCATTCCCTTTATTAAACTTTAACCCTAAAGTCAGGGGTCAAAAAGATTGGATGGGGGTGGTGAAAACACCCCCCCCCCTGTTAACCCCTCTTAATCTTATATTCTTAATTCTAACCCCTGTCAAATCTAATTGAATGATTATACGAAATAATGTCAATTAGATTTGCTTACTTTTGCTCTTTTAATTTCTTTCAAAATATTTTCTCTTTTTTTTGAAAGTTTTTTTAAAAATGTTATTCTACTTATTTCCTCCTTTTGTCCTAATCTGTTTGTTTCATTTTTTTTCTTTTTTTTCGCTGAACTTTTTTATTCTTTTTGTCTGAATTCTATTTTATTTTTGACAGTTTTTTAAATGTTCTTTCTGCTCCCCTATCTAAGTCTGATAATGCTTGAATTTTCGCAGTATTTTTCCGTTTCGTCTGACTGCCCGAACTGCTTAAAACGACCCATTTTTACATTTTATGATCATTTAAAATTGTTTAAATGGGCATTCTGTGAAAACGCAACTACTCCTTGCACCGTCCTCCTACATGCTACATTTAAACCTACGATTCAATTAATGCCCCCCTCCCACTCCTTCCCATTCCCCCCACGGCCCACCATCGTCTTTTTGCATATCTTTAGACTTCCCCCCCTTTTCGTCCCCCCTTAGCAATGTGGGAAGGCTAAAGAATTAACAAAAGTAAAAATGTTAATGCTTATTTTATTGAATGAGTAATCAATTTCTTTAGTTGCCAATGCTGTAGTAAAACTAGACTAATTCCTACCTTAATGATGTGTGTAGGTACTAGGTAGATTGATCCAATGCTTTAATAAATGATCAACTAGACTAATTCATAACTTTATGCTGTGTGTAGGTAGATTGATCAAATGCTTTAGTAAAATGTAGATCAACGAGACTAATTCTTACCTTTATGCTGTGTGTATGTAAATTCATTCAATGCTTTAGTAAAATGATCAAATAGACTAATTCCTACCTTTATGCTGTGTGTAGGTAGATTGATCCAATGCTTTAGTAAAATGTAGATCAACAAGACTAATTCCTACCTTTATGCTGTGTGTGTATGTAGATTGATCCGATGCTTTAGTAAAATGATCAACGAGACTAATTCCTACCTTTATGTTGCGTGTATGTAGATTGATCCAATGCTTTAGTAAAATGATCAACGAGACTAATTCCTACCTTTATGGTGTGTGTATGTAGATTGATCCAATGCTTTAGTAAAATGTATATCAACGAGACTAATTCCTACCTTTATGTTGTGTGTAGGTAGATTGATCCAATGCTTTTGTAAAATGTAGATCAACGAGACTACCCACATCTCCTGCTGTATGGGTGTAAACAACAACATTTCTAGCCAAATATACAGGAGCAATATTCTCCTCACCCTCACTTAACAATAAAAACAATCATTAGAACAATATTTAAATTCAAATAAAATAATAATAATTAGTACAATATTTAAATTCAAATAATAATAATAAATGGAACACTATTTAAATCAAAATATAATGATAATAATTAGTACACTATTCAAATCAAAATAAAATAATAATAATTAGTACAATATTCAAATCAAAATATAATAATGATACTTAGTACAATAATTAAATCAAAATATAATAATAATAATTAGTACACTATTCAAATCAAAATATAATAATGATACTTAGTACAATAATTAAATTAAAATATGATAATAATACTTAGTACAATAATTAAATCAAAATATGATAATAATACTTAGTACAATAATTAAATCAAAATATGATAATAATACTTAGTACAATAATTAAATTAAAATATGATAATAATAATTAGTACAATAATTAAATCAAGATATGATAATAATACTTAGTACAATAATTAAATCAAAATATAATAATAATGCAAATAACACTAAGACTAAAAATGTTGAATATTATGATGATGATAATACCAATAATCATAAGATCTTTGATAATATTAAACATGATAAACATGATATAGATTTATAGATTATTTGATGATTTATTGATCATTTGATTGATTTATTGATTATTTGATTGATTTATTGATAATTTGAATGATTTTTTGATTATTACATTGACTGATTAATTATTTGATTATTTATTGATTATTTATTTTTTTATTTTTTTATTAGTTCATTGATTATTTGATTAATTTATTGTTTATTTATTTTAATATTTTTCGATCAATTATTTGATTTATCTATCTATTATTTGATTGATTAATGGATTATTTGATTGATTTATTGATTATTTGATTTATTTATTTATTATTTGATTGATGGATTATTTCATTAATTTATTGATTATTTAATTGATTGATTGTTCCAGCTTACCTATCATTACTATTATTACTAGGAGATACAGGAGTGAGAGGTGCAGGGGTGGGGGTGGGTGCTCCACATGAGCCCCCTGTTGAGCTAGAGTGGGGGGTGGGGGAGGGGTACATGGCCCCCGGAGGGGAGTGGTATGAGGGTTCTCTCCGAGTGTACTCTTGGGGAAAAGTCTGGATGGGTATTCTGGAAAATTCCTGAAAAAGAGAAAATAAGGAAAATATTAACAAAAACACACTAACTATTCTAGAATATGAGGAAAAATCCCCGCCCCCCTCCCCAACTCTTCTTTAAAACCCACTACTAATTCGGTCAGAGTACTGCAGATCACTCCAATACGCACCGAAGGCTTAGTCCCGGCCCTTGGCCCTACTATTTTTTTAAACATTAATAACTTGCCTGTAGAGTAGGGGTAGGAGGAGGGAAGGAGGGTTCCCGTGAATCTAATGGAGGGGCGGTGTATGGTTCTCTTGGGGCGGAATAAGGTTCTCTCGGGGCGGAATAAGGTTCCCTGGGGGCGGAATAAGGTTCTCTAGTGGCGGAATATGGTTCTCTCGTGGCGGAATAAGGTTCCCTCTGGGTTGGATAAGGTTCTCTAGTAGCGGAGTAAGGTTCTCTAGGGGTGGAGTAAATTTTAGGACTGGTGTATGGAGTCCTGTAGTCTTCTGTGTAAGATTCTTCAGTCACAGGACCAATTTCATTTCCTCCTTCCGTCTTAAACACTTCCTGAAAAGAACATTATTTTAATCAAATGTAATATTTTTTTTAATGCTGAACTAAGAGAGGGTGAATTAGTAGATGTATGAAAGAACGCGGGTTTGAACCAGCTGCAACTTTTCATTAGTTCAAGTACTCTTAAATCCCTTTTCTGTAATTGAGAACGTACGTCCGCCCTAGATGTGATGCACTTAAAACACCGAAATAGTTGGCCGCCAGGTGAATCTGCACTCGATGCTTTGAATGATTACACATGGCAGAGACACCTAGGGGAAAAACGTCGTGTTAAGTTCTAATGTATATAAAATAAATAACAATTATTATGAAATATTAACTTTACACAAATGAGTCGAAAAATAATCGGTGACTATAGGTTGTATTATCTGAATGATTTGTTTGAAATTAAATTGATTTTTTTACGATCAGAGTCGTATATTGCAACTTTCTGAATTTGTATGAACGCTATGTTCTTCAGTATAAGTCGTTTTTAATAATTTTCTCATTTTAGAGGCAACAGATAGAAGTAAGATTAGTAGCAATCAAAAGCGATTATTTTTTGCCTTAAGCCTATACCACCTTTCATTTTTCGCGAACACTCCCTTTAAACGGTCACTACTCAAAACGATTACTTGACTTAAAATATTTTTTTTAAAGTTTAAATTTTAAAAATTAAATTGTTCAAGGGATGATCCATTTTTCCTAAGATAGCATTTTATTTATTTGGTGGAGTCTGCTCTACCATACAATCTATCTATCTATCTATCTATCTATCTATCTATCTATCTATCTATCTATCTATCTATCTTTCTATCTATCTATCTATCTATCTATCTATATATTATCTATTTATTATCTATCTATCTATATATCTTCCTATCTATCTATTATCTGTATATCTATCTATCTATCTATCTATCTGTCTCTATTATTCTATCTATCTATCTATCTATTTATCTTTCTGTCTGTCTATCTAACAAACTGTCTCTTTCTTTATCCATGGTATTTAATAAAATGAAAAATACAAATCCGAAATCAATTTCCTCCTTTTCCTTTCCCGCCCCCCTTTCCCTCCCCTTCCCCACCACCCTCCTCTCAATATATCCGTCCAAAAAAAATTAACCTAATCGATGGAGATCCCATGAACAATTTTTTTACAAGAACAAAAAAATGTAAAAAAGAAGAATGGCAAAAAATTCTAAAGTTTATGAATGTTTAAAATATAATATGCAGATATTCTGAATGTTTAAAATGTAAGATGTAGATATTCTGAATGTTTAAAATATAAGATGACACATCCCCATTTCCTCATTAAGTTAGGAATGCAACTTTCATTTATTTTCATAATTTGCCGGAAAGCATATTTTTTCACAAAATTGTGTTATATCTCTTTAAGTAGATATTGCATGTGAAATGGACAGAAATATTAGATCAAATTATAGATACGACTTTGTGACCTCGTAGTTCATCTAATTTTGATTTTGTGCACAAGTGAGACAAAACAAACATTTAAAAACATTGTTATTCTTCAACAATAGAAGTTATGATTTTAAACATTTAAGATTCTATTCTAACGTGCAATTTACTCTAGTTTGACGTGCCCATGTAAAAATGTATTTATTATATAAGTATGGTATATAAATTTACTTTAGTTTAAAGTGCCTATGTAAAAATGTATTTATTATATAAGTATCGTATATAAATTTACTCTAGTTTGACGTGCCTATGTAATAATGTATTTATTATATAAGTATGGTATATAAATTTACTTTAGTTTAAAGTGCCTATGTAAAAATGTATTTATTATATAAGTGTGGTATATAAATTTACTTTAGTTTGAAGTGCCTATGTAAAAATGTATTTATTATATCAGTATGGTATATAAATTTACTTTAGTTTGACGTGCCTATGTAAAAATGTATTTATTATATAAGTATTGTATATAAATTTACTTTAGTTTGAAGTGCCTATGTAAAAATGTATTTATTATATCAGTATGGTATATAAATTTACTCTAGTTTGACGTGTTTATGTACAAATGTATCTATTATATAAGTATGCTATATAAATGTACTTTAGTTTGACGTGTCTATGTAAAAATATATCTATTATATAAGTATGGTATATAAATTTACTTTAGTTTGACGTACCTATGTAATAATGTATTTATTATATAAGTATTGTATATAAATTTACTTTAGTTTGACGTGTCTATGTAAAAATGTATCTATTATATAAGTATGGTACATAAATTTACTTTAGTTTGACGTGTCTATGTAAGGGTGTATCTATTATATAAGTATGGTACATAAATTTACTCTAGTTTGACGTGTCTATGTAAAAATGTATTTATTATATAAGTATGGTATATAAATGACTGTGAGAACAGGTATATAAAGGAATGCTAAGAATCTGCCTGTAAACCCAGTATACCGACCAAAATGTCATTTATACTTTTTGCTGGATATAAACACTCAAAAGTGGTTTTGAAACTAAACTCAGGAGTTTTATTTTACATTCTTACTTGGTTTCTCACAGTGCTTAAACTTAAAGACAACTTCTGTATTTATAACTTAAGAATTTTAAGGTCTGCCATGGTTTAGAAAAATTGCAAATGTAGTGCCATACGTTTTTAAGACCCTCTGAAAACGGATTAATATCGACATTCAAACCATCCCCTCTTCTTTCTCCTTCTTTTCCCCTATGCGCGCATCCTTATTTCTCAGGTTTGAAAACAGATAAAAAAACAAGTTCACACGTTTGTTTAACTGACCATTGTCCGATACCATTTATAATCCCTCACACACATTTTAGAAACACACAGATCCAAATAAACAAACACAAACAAACCTACAAATCCACATAAACAAACACAAACAAACATACAAATCCACATAAACAAACACAAACAAACATACAAATCCACATAAACAAACACAAACAAACACACAAATCTAAATATACAAACACAAACAAACATACAAATCTAAATATACAAACACAAACAAATAAACAAATCTAAATATACAACCACAAACAAACACACAAGTCTAAATATACAAACACAAACAAACATACAAATCTAAATATACAAACACAAACAAACAAACAAATCTAAATGTGAAAACACAAACACAAATATAAACAAATCTAAATATACAAACACAAATACAAATATAAACAAATGTAAACACAACAAACATATAACTGTATATCACTAATTCAAGAACATAGAAAAACACAACAGTGCAATCGAAAAAAGAGTCACAACAAGTTCAAAGAAAATTAAAAGAGAAATACTACAAATGCAAATAAAAAACATAACCACAAAAACAAACACAACCAGTTAAAACAAAGAAATTGAGTTTTCGCCACAAACTAGAATCTTCTGATCCCAATATCTTTGCAATCTTTTGGTGCAAACCTTTGATATTTCAAACTTAGATTATTTTATCTGTAAGTATAGAACAGAACAAGGTTTGCAGTTTCCAGTAGCTTGAATTTTTGATGTATCAGAGAAGAAATATGTCTTGTTGTTCTCAAGATAGATTCAGGGTCCCACACACATAGTTGACATCCTCCCTCCCCTTTCTTTACTCCCCCCCCGCTCCTTTCCTTTCATTCCTCCTTCTTAACATATTCTCCTTCTTTTATTCTCCATGCTCTTCTTCTTCATAATATGTTCTTGAAATAAAGTGTAAAAGAACTAAAACTTGTCTGAAAGCACTAGGAAGGTTTGAATAACATGAATGATCGAATATGACCAACAAAACTAATTTCATGCATTAATTACATAAACGCGCAATGTTGAATTAATGTAAAATTCACGTGAGATTCAAGTCTTAGTTTTTTAATCATAACTCGATACCCTTATTGAAGAGCTGCTATTAAGAAGAACATATTTTTAATTTCTGATATGTTACCAATTTCTTTTCTTTCTTCGTTCAAACTAGAGCATAAAATCAAAACAAGAGGAGCTAACAAGTCAAAATTTTGCACCAGTAAGAGTTTACTGCATGTTGAGTGCGTGCGGTACTTTTATAGTTTTATTTTGCATCAAATTCAAATTGTTCAAATTCGTTTTTCTTTTTCGTTACGTCCCCCCCGTGCTTCCCCCCCCCCCTTGCTGTAAATTTTACATATAAACTCAACTGAACATTTTTTATCAGTTTTCCCGACATAAATCTTGTAAACTGTTCCAGTAAAACTTGGTAAAACGACATGAATTTAAACTCCTTATCTTCTAAATCTATACACCTACTCCAGTTACTCAACCCTAGGGGTGCAAACAGGGGGGGGGCTGGGGAGAGTGCCCCCCTTCACAGAAAGAAATTCCAACACTCGTTTGCAACGATCAAGGAAAATATGCAAAATAAATTAACAAATTTTAAAAATTACTTTTAATTACAACAAATATTCTTGTTCTTAGGTCGAATTTAATGAATAGGAAGAAGTTAAACTAAACCTAATTAGTTTAGGTCAAATTTAATGAATAGGAAGAAGAAGTTAAACTAAACCTAATTAGTTTAGGTCATATATTTATTTTCTACGTATATACATATGTAATATCAAGGAGTCTATCAATCTTTCTATTATCTATCTATCTCTCTATATCTCTATTTATCTATATATCTATCTATCTATATATCTTTTTATCTATATATCTATCTATCTCTGGAAGAGTATGGATATAACATTACTTCTGTCAAGTTTATCTAAACGCTTGAACGAAACCTAGAAACAGAATACAATATTTACAATACAGAATACACAAACTAGAAAATATATTCTATATATTAAATAATATGATATATAATATATTCCTTTGTTTAACCAGAAATTATATATTACACTATAGTGCACGTGACTTTTACTATTTAAGAAGGATTAATATTAAGAACTGGGGGGATTCCAAATAAGGAGAGGGGGGGAGATATTAGAAGGGGAAATATCAATAAAAGGATAAACATACTAATTCATCCATATATAATAAAAAATAATTATTATATTAATAAAGATACTAAATTATGAAGAAAATATTAATCTCATCTATTTATTGATTAACAAAATAAACCCTTTTCATAATTTGAAGTAAAATGCTACGAAAGTAAAATGCTACGAAAGTAAAATGCTACGAAAGTAAAATGCTACGAAAGTAAAATGCTACGAAAGTAAAATGCTACGAAAGTAAAGACAAATTGAAATTTTAGATTGACGAGGTGCAAAGGTAAAGAAGCCGACAAAACTTTTTCCTGACAAGAGGGGGACTTTTTGCCTGCTTTGTCGATTAGTCAAATGATACATGTATATTTCAAACTAACACTTGTTTTTTCCACGTAAACGCTTCAAATTAACTCGTCATTTTTTATAGAAACCTTCTCACGAGTTTTTAGGGTCGGCGGGGAGCAAAAACGCGGGGAAGGGACAAAATCAAGATTTGAAGAAGACGTTTAGTAGGATTTAGATAGTTTGATGCGATCTCTAGATGGAGAATCCACATAAACAAACACAAACAAACCTACAAATCCACATAAACAAACACAANGGCTTGGAAAATCAATAAATTAGCTCCATCCTTTATAAGCATTGCGCAAAATTCTGAACATATTTTCAATTATCTAAAAAAAATTTGCTTAAAAATTAAAATTTTTCCAAGAAAAAAAATCTTGCATGACCCTGGTTAAGACCAGTAGGAGATGAAGATGGTTGGAGGACCTAAAATGGACAACTCTGAGGGAAGGGGGGGGGGGTTGTCATGGGTGAACCATGGGTTTTAAGGGTGAACTATAAGAATAATAAGAATGATAAGTTTTTGAATCACTATCAATGTATTTTCAAGTTGATTTCATTATTATTCAAGAGAGGAATACCCGATTCACACAGTACCCTGTAACAACAACAAATATATTCTTGTGTTTCTATCCAAAATTGATAATCTCCATATCTGGGTTCTTTATAGAATTGAATTGCGCATTTATGCAGAAGAGACAAAGAAGGAAGTTTTACACTTTTCTTGATATATTTCTCATTGTTGCTCGGATGTATGTTTAAAGGGTATCGTTGTGAATAGGGAACTCAACACTTTTTAAACCTAAACACTCCCTTTACTTCTACTGAAACTGGAATCAGGAACTCAACACTCCCTTTTCCGGGCAGGGATGAAGGATGAAGTGAACTAGGATGGGATGAATATAGCTAGTAAAGAATGATTTGATTGATGGATGAATAGATGGTATAGTTCAGGGTGCATCAAAGCTAGCGATATAAAGGAAGATGTTACTCTCCGCTTTAATCTACAAATCTTCATTGTTCTTGACTTTATAGGAAGGGACTTAAACAGCTATGTGGGGGGGAGAGGGGGGGCACAACAGCGAAATAGCAGGGGTCGGCGGGGAGGGGCGTGGGATAACAGGGAGGAAAAAGGAGGGGGAGGATCGAATACAGATATGTGACATTAAAAGGGAGTTACTTTTCAATGTTGATGTTTTACAGAATAAATCTTAATTTTAAAAGTATCAAATTTCCATCCCCACTGCGCCAAACTATTTGATGTTGGATCATCACAAAAGGATGAACATTAAAATGTGGAAAAATTTTTCTAGAGAAAAACTCAAAATTATTTTATCTGTGTTTACAATGAAGTATTTTGCAAGCCAAGAAAACGAAAATGACCTATTTTTACAGACACTAAAACTGTCAAAATGTCGTTCAAAATATTCTTGTAGGGATTAGAAAGTTGAAGCGTGCGTCATCTTCCCAATTCTGTTGGGAAAAATCGGGAAAAGTGAAAGTTTGACAAAAATCCGCGAGTTGTGGAATCCATTTTGAAATCTGATGTTTTCTGTTCAAAGATCCATGACATCTTGATATTCCTGGTTCTCACGGCATATTGTAATCCCACCCCCTGCCGGGGCTCACAGATACCCTGCTGAGTCCCCCCCCCCTCCTCAGCATCCCCCCCTTGACTCTTAGTTTGATATCAAATATCAATATTTATGTTTTCATACAGAGCAATGGTTACACTTGATCTAATAATGAAGGTAAGTGTACTTTACAGATTAGTTTTAACAACTTTGAGTGTAAATAGTTTTATTTCAGAATATTACACGATCTATTTAAAATACTTTATCCAACTTAGCATTTTTATTATAAAATACATTAGACATTTCTGTCAGCGTAATTTCAAGCGACACTTCATGAAAGGTAGCTGAGCCCGATTAGCAACGGTACCCTTGAAACCCTTAATATGATCAATAATGTGGAAGATACTGTAGTTTTTCAAAATTTAAAAGTGATTATTAATAATAATTTCTATAGGTTTTCCTGCAATAAAAATGTGCAAGTCACTTTTGTCAACACTTTTAAATCTAGAAAAACGACAGTTTCTTCCTCAGATTAGACAAATGTTTTTAGTGTTCGGATGTGAATATATCAGGCAACGCCATCTTAGTATTGAGGGTCACTTACAATTATGCTTACAGTGTTTTCAAGATTGACTGACGAAAACTGATAATACAAACTAGAGATAAAAAGTCGTTTATTAAAAAGCTTATTAAAAATTTCCTTTATGGGAACAAAGATTAAAATATATNTTAATTATTTAGAAAATTAATAATATCCAATATTAGGCTCTAATAAATAGTCCCCACACCGACCCTCTTTTTTTAATAATATATTGTAAGAAAGTTAAATTTTAAGATTAAACACAATGACAATCTTTTTGTACGGATTAAATATATAGATATACATAAAATATATTTTAATACAAAGATATTAGTAAACATTTATAAATATTTTGAAATTATGTATAAGTGATAGTATAAATATTTTTAATTCAATTATTAAATAATAATAATAACACTACAACCTCCGTTTAAAAGGTTGGCATGTCCGATTCCGAACGGTAGCTTTCAATATTATCTCTGATTTACAATGAATTTTTTTATAATCTTGGAAAGTGCAGAATACCGTAAATATCCATCATTGACTCTGCATGAAATTACTTTTACAGAGAAACCAAAATTTAGAATAATCTAGTAGTTTAATTTTGCAAAGAAGAAAGGAATTGAGTCTTTGCAACAAAGATTGATTTTCTAATCCTTATATATTTGCAACCCAATGTCGTAGACCCTAGATATTTCAAACTATGAATTCTGTTTGATCAAATAATTTAAGTTTGAAATATTAAATGTTTACACCATCAGTTTATAAAGATATAGGGATTATAAAAAATTTTAATTTGTGGCAAAGACTCAATTTCTTTTATTTTTGTTTTGTCTGAAAAGTTAAACTTAAACAATGCAATATATAATTTAAAGTTTAATAATAATCATAATAATTGAAATTTTTTTACTTCAATTCAAAAAAATAATTGGGGTTTTTTGTACGCCTTATGGTTTTTATTTTTACTTTAAACCATAAATTTTTTTGTCTGGAAGTGATCTATAACCTCTAGAAAAGAAGGTATCACGGTATATAAGGTCAAAGTGCCTAAAATTTCAAACCCATTTTTTACCCAACAAATGTAGGTTTTTCGTAATTTCTAATATATATACTTTGTTTTTTGTTATACCTTGTCAATTTAAAATAAAATTCGATTTATTCCACTCTACTTCATGGAATTTAAATAGATTTTAACTTAAATTTAACTTTTTTTAATTATAATATTAATAAATAGTAATTTAAGAAGAAATTTTATGAAAACAATTGTAACAAAAATATAAATTACCTTTTCTAAATTTTCTGTTTTCATTCCTTGTTCTGGTAGTAGGAGGGGGGCGGGGCTAGCATGTGGACTGGTTGGTTTACCATGGTTTAGGGCGGGGCTAGCTTCACTAGGACTGGTTAGGGGGGTGGGGCGGGAGATAGAGCAGGAGGGGGTGGGGCTGGATGTAAAATGGGCGGAGCTACTGTACGGCTGGTACATTATTCCAATACAGCTCATTCTTTCAAAATAATAAAGCTTATCTAACCCTTCTTGGTGCTGGCATCACTGGTAAAATATATCCGGAATAAAGAAATAAAAATATATTTGTATATTTTTAACTGTATACGTTGTATCTGTGTATGAGAAAGATCACATATATGTCTGCATTAAGGATGGTATGTGACGGTTTCTAGACAACTCTACACACTGGCCAAATTTATGCCGCCAGGGTAGTCCGCCAGAATACAGAAATCCAAGAAACCTTCCGGAGCAACAGAGTTCAGAAGAATCCCGCACTCTCAGTCCGGCAGATGGCTCCGATAAACGCTCAGCTGTCTCTGGAAATATTATATACTTCCTTACGCGCTACGGATATACGCCTCTATTCACCTATGGCGGATGTAAAAGTAACTTTCGGCGAATGAACCCTTCCCCCCCTCCCGTGTATATGTTTTGTAGGGAGGGGGGGGGGGGCATTTGCCAACAACAAAAGTGATCAAATTAATTATGTGATAATAATAAATCCTTAAATATGGAAGACAGATAACTTTCTAAAAAAAATTCACTTTGATCAAAGAATAAAATCAAAATAACTGTAAAAAGAATCTTAATTCAAACGTTCTGACTGATTGCTCAAAACTAAAAAATAACTCTATTTTCTGCACTCAAACGAAATATATACTTCTCTAAAACTCAAATTTTATATTTTTTGAGTCTTTGTAAATTGATTACCTAGATCTTTTTTAAACTATTAATTCTGTTCTACCTTTAGATCAAATACTAAAGTATTACACCATCAGATTCTGTAGATATCATAGGGATTACTAAATTAGAGTGTGGGGAACATGTTCAGTGCTTTTTGAGGCTTTAGAATTTTAATATAAAAAATCTACAAAAATCTATCAAAAATCTACAAAAATCTATTCACAGCGTTTTAAAGAAAAATGTTATTTTGTCTGTAAAAAATCCAAGATTTTTTTCTTCCTTTTTTCATTAAAACAATGACTGATTTTTTCATTTGATCCTTTAAACATATTTTTTATCTATTTGGTCTTAAAAATATAACCTATCCCCCCCCTAGCTCTCAGTTTTAAAAACTACGTAGGGTTAAATTTGTTTATATTTACAGTTGACTAGTTAAAGTCTATTTACCAAAGTTCATCGATTTAAAGTTTGCTTGTAATAGGTTGTTCAAAAATATTTTTTTATTGGATTTATTTTATGTCTTCTTGATCAATTTAAAACAAAGTGAAAAAGAATGAAACGGCTTCCAAATGTCTAAAAATCTGGTTTTTTATTGCATCTGTAGCAAATATTTTGTGACACATGCTTTTGGAAAATCCGCGAATGTTTAGGCTGTAATTAAACCCATTTACTGCACCTTCAGGTGGTCGTTTCTAGTAATCATTTTCTACAGGAGAGTTGGAGGATAGTTGGAGAATAGCTGGAGGAGAGTTGGAAGAGAGTTGAAGGAGCTATTGAGGATAGTTGGAGAAGAGTTGGAGGAGAGTTGGAGGAGATATGGAGGAGATATGTAGCAGATATGGAGGAGAGTTGGAGGAGAGTTGGAGGAGAGTTGGAGGAGAGTTGGAGAAGAGTTGGAGGAGAGTTGGAGGAGAGTTGGAGAAGAGTTGGGGGGGAGTTGGATGAGAGTTGGAGGGGAGAGGGAGAATAGTTGGAGGAGAGTTGGAGGAGAGTTGGAGGATAGTTGGAGAAGAGTTAGAGGAGAGTTGGAGGAGATATGGAGGAGAGTTGGAGGAGAGTTGGAGGAGAGTTGGAGGAGAGTTGGAGGAGAGTTAGAGGACAGTTGGAGGACAGTTGGAGGACAGTTGGAGGACAGTTGGAGGACAGTTGGAGGACAGTTGGAGGACAGTTGGAGGACAGTTGGAGGACAGTTGGAGGACAATTGGAGGACAGTTGGAGGACAAATCAAATCAAATCAAATTATACATTAAATTTCAATAAAGAATTGGTCAGGCCTTTACAAAATCAAATTGATTTGGAAGAAATTTGAAACCCTATTCCCCCCCCACTCCCCTTCCTTTCAAAACATGCCCTCCGCACACCAAACTAGCCCAGTAAAAGTATGTCCTGGTTGAATCACGATAAATCTACTCAAGATATTATTTTTCAATTAAAATAACCCTTACGTTACTTTTTATTTATGAAGACCAACAATTCAAGTATGAGAACGAAATAACCTCAATTAATGGGGAAATTTAAATTAAGAAAGGGAACGCTCACCTATTATCAAACAAAGTGCCCCCCCCTTTTTCTTTTTTTCTTGCATACCTTATATCCTCTTAAGCTAACGTTAAGATAGATAGATAGATAGATAGATAGATAGATAGATAGATACAAAGATATAGATAGATAGATAGATAGATACAAAGATATAGATAGACAGAGCTAGAGATAGATATGTACATGGAAAATATAATTTCTTTTCAACCCCGATTATTTCATTCTTTAGCAGCAAAAGAAGCAATTTTATTTTAAAATTCCATGTAATACACCTAGCTTTAGTGAAAAAAAAGAAGAAACGTAACTGTGACAAATTAAGATTTACATGCGAAATAAAAACCTGTAAATGACAAACTTAACACAAAAATTTAATTTTAAAAAATCAAAAAATTTATCCTCAAGGTCTGAAGCTTTTTATTTGTTCTTTTTAATCTTCTAAATATCAAGATGTCATTCAATTAAACAAAAGTGCATATTTTGCAGACATTTATTTTTCTGTTTTCAGTGTGTTAAGATACGATCCATATGAATTAAATTGCGCTATTTTTTTCCATGCTATATTCATCCCCTGTACTGTATTACTGGAAATTAGTTTTTTAAGCAGTTCATACCGGCCGTTCAGGCTTAATAATGCCTTACAAATTGCTCAGTAAATCATACTTTTATTCTCCCCCCCAGCCAATAGGAAGGATGAACTGTTTTGTCGACCAATCAAAGTAAAGAGATTACTGTCGACCAATGAGAGGAGGGATTCATAATTCCGACCAATCACAGAACAGATAATTTCCCGGATTTTTGTTTCCGGAAATAATTCACAGTTTAGATTTAAGCCTAATTTAAATTGTTGAAATTTGATCTTTCAGAAATGTTCATTTTTTAATGATTTAACAACAAAAAATCCTTTTGAAAACGCTAACAATTAGCTTATAGAAAAAATTATTCATTGATGTTTTTATCATAAAATCGCAAAAAGAAAATGAACAAAAAAATTCTTTGTATATTGCATTATGGAAGAACAGTGTTTGTTTAAGCATAATTATTACCCGAACCTAACTATTCATGACTTCCTTCTCATTATAGTAAATACCTAGCATTTTATACCGAATTCTAGAGAGGGGGGGGGAGATAGATAGCTTACTAGCTAGTATGGGAGAAAGTAGGGATCTTGGGTAGGTGGGTAGGTGGGTAGATGGGTAGGTGCGTAGATGGGTAGGTGTGTAGGTGGGTAGATGTGTAGGTGATTTTTGTGAAAATAACATATTCAATCTATAAACTACATTTATTTCTTTTGTTTCACCAATTTTAATAGAATTAGGTTTATTCATTTTTTAAAAAATCAATTTTATTTGAATAAGTCAGCAAAAATAGAAAATATATTTTCTGTAAAATAAAAACTGAAAAACTGATCAAACAGCATAATCAATCTTTTTAATACATTAAATTCTTTTGTTTCACTAATTTTCATAGACTTAGGTTCAGTTATTTTTTGGAAAATGAATTATATTGGCATAAGACAGCAAAATTAGGAAATATCCTTTCTTAAAAATAATCTTATAAAACTGATCATTTAACTCTCAAAATCATTGATTTTTGTAATAATAATATATTCAATCTATTTAATACATTAAATTCTTTTGTTTCACCAATTTTAATAGACTTAGGTTTATTCATTTTTGAGAAAATGAATTATATTGGCATAGGTGGGTAGGTGTGTAGGTGGGTAGGCAAAATTCTCATAAATTTTTGCGTGAAACCTTGCAACCTTTGGATTACTGTGCATGGTTATGTGCGTATAAGGAAGAATATTTATAAGAAGTAATGACTAATATATTTTTAGAATGAAAATGTATATTTTTCAATAATATATATGTTATTGGTAGAATAAGAAGATTCATTTTTAACGATCAATATCATAATATGTTAATTATTAGTATACAATATATATTTTACATTGCTTAATATATTATTGGTATTGCAAGATATATTTTACAATAAATAATATGTTATTGGTATTAAAATATATATTTTACATTAATTATTATGTTATTGGTATTAAAATATATATTTTACATAAATTATTATGTTATTGAAATTACAAGATATATTTTACATTAATTAATATTTTATAGGAATTAGAAGATATATTTTACATTATTTAATATGTTACAGGAATTAGAAGGTATATCTTATATTATAGAGGAAGTGAGTCAGACTCTAATAAAACGCATAAATAACTTCCAGTATATATATTTCTTATAACTTATTACTAGAGGGTTCAGAACTAGAGTCAATATCGATATTGCACGTGTAGACTGTAGAGATCATATCAGTACTAAAATGCCCCGTATCCGTTCTATCTCATTCTGTTGAATCTTGTGGAACTAGTTTAACGCGGCCAGGCATCGTCTTCCACAATATCAATCACCCTGAACTAACGAGAGAGAGAAGCATTCGGTTTCTTTTATCTGAAATCAAACATGTTTTTTGTCTATAACTCAACAGTCTTTAGACTTACAGATTTGTTTATTTTATACTTTTTCATTCATATGAATATGCCAACGAAAAAATATTTATGATAAAATGCTATAAAATTATGTAAAAGGGGTCAAATTGTGATCAAAAGTCACAGTTTTCTGAAATATTGACAGAACCGTTAAATCCACGTGTATTATGTTCTTTGCATTACAAGATATATTTTACATTAATTATTATGTTATTGGAGTGACAAGATATATTTTACATCAATTAATATTTTACAGTAACTAGAAGATATATGTTACATTAATTATTATGTTATTGGCATTACAAGATATATTATACATTAAATAATATGTTATTAGTATTACACGATATATTTAACCTAACCTAACCTGAAAACAACAATACTACATTCTCAGTTCAACTATCATACATTGCCGGTCACTCCCTTTAATGTTCTTTATAATAAAA